GGGAGAAAATTATGGTGTAGCCATTGCGGCTGCCAATCTACTGTTCCAAACAGAGCTGCCGCTAGTGGTAACCACCCAAATTGCGCCAACTCCGCAAGTCTCGATGGTAGACGTTGCTTGGCACTCGTTCCAAACCCATGCAGAATAGCAGGCCTCATAAAGCCTTGCTCAATTTCCATGGCCTGGTAAATTTTGTCTCCTGGTAATACTTTTATCACAACGTCTCCTGGGAGGAGACTAAGTGTTGGCAGGGCCCCTTGCTCATATGCAGGACGGGCCCACTTATGAAAGTTGGGCTGTCTGCCTTGGAAGCCATCAAGGATTCCTCGCAAGTGTCCATGCCGAGGCCGCACTCCCGTCTCGGGAACCGGAAAGGTAACCCACCCAGACCATTGTCCTAGTAGACTCCAGGCATGACACCAGTCAGCTGCACATCGAGTAGTGGTGCCTAGAAGTGGCGATCCCAGTAAACCACTAGAAACGGCAGTTTCAGTGTCACAAGGCGGCTGGGTGGTTGAAAGGTAACCTTCAACATGTTCAAGATAGGCTTTGCTGGCTACCGTAGCGAGTTCATCTGGGTCTCGCTCAGGATCAGCAAGTTCAGACTCCAGGAGTGGGCTGCGATGTCCAGACGCCAACACAATGACTAGTCCAGCATTAATTTCTGTGAAGGCTTCGCTGACCAGGATGACACCCTTGCTGGCCGCAGGTTGCGGTGCTCTAAGGGTTACCCTCTTGTCCGTTGAGCCAGAGCGCGAATGGGTAGTGGGAGAGGAGTTGCCGCTTTTCTCTTCCTCTCGCTCAGTTGGGTGTGGACTCGGCGGTTCAGACCCACCAAAGTCGACCTCATCCTCAAAATTGCCCGTAGCATCTGGAGGCGGTGCCCGCACGTCAATGGCCGCAAAGTTCTCAACACTGCGCGATTTCGGCAGCTTGATAGGGGGGCCAGGTTGTTGTTGCGTGGCTTTCCCTGTGTCAACAGATCGTGCTCTCTTCTGCGCAGGTGCAATCGGACTGCTCGGCATCAGTTCAGGTTGTAGGCACCCTTCAGCAGGCGGCTCATGCCCTGCGCACGATAGCCACAGCTCCTGAATTTCGAAGAGCGTCACCGGCATGCAATCACTGTCAATGAGAGCAAAGTTGATGCTCGGGAAGAGAAAGACACATGCATCCAATATGTAGGTGCCAGCCCACGTAGGGTGCACCTTGTCCAGGCCTGTGTCTGCCGATATGGGCACGAATACAACTGTGGTGTGCTCGCCATAAGGGCCCACGTATCGGATTCGCTCCTTCCACCACGCAGCAACCATGGGCCAGTGACTTAATCCTGAGGTGCTGGCAACCATATCCGCTAGCAGGTCTCGATGATCAGTGATGAGGTAAACAGTCTGGAATGATAGGAACTCAGCAGCTTGGCTGACGACCCAGCGATAAAGGCTGTGCCAATTAGGTCCCGGTGCAACCTCCACACCATTCACTACCCTGATCTCATAGTCGTGCCTATCAGGTTCACCAGACTTCTTGTGGGGGTCTCCAAATCGCCACTGGTGATGGACAGTCTGGTTCAAACCATACTCAGTGGAAATATCTTTATACAGACCCAGCGCTTCCAACAGTCTATGGCCAGAAGGACCAGGCACAACACCCGAGGGAAGCGGGGTGGATTAGTCCATCGAAGTGGGACAGCTAGGGAGGGAGTACCGTCTTAAGGGTGCTGTTGATGTATTCAACAGCACCCGTCTTGTCTGGGAAAGTATTTCCCCTAGGTATCGTCGACGCAACTCGTTGGGTCAACAATCGTGTTAACAAACCCGTTGACAAACACACCTGTGTTGTTTCGTGTTTGTCAGACAACAACAGGGAATGTACTTTCCTGAAAACTTATCTTCTTTGGGTTTCTTCCCAATTTGTTGAGTGAAAGTATTTCACTTGACGGGGAATGATTTCTTGAAGGGAAAGCATTTCCCAATCCCACCTATTTGGGAGTTTGTTTTCCTAAGTAGGATATTACGGTGAATGTACTTCACCAGAGTAAGTATGGTTTTGTGGGTAAGAAAGTATGTGTGATGTCAGCCACCGCTGGCTCACAGGGGGCCTTCAAAGAAAGGTCTGTGGGGGGGGTGCGCCCAATGCAGTTGGGCATCGTGTGACGCGATGGAAGGACCGGGGCCACCGAGGGGCTACAGGGCCCGGTGGCGGAACCGGGGCAAAGCGTCTGAGGGAAGTGCACCCGAGCTTGATAGCGGAGGGGCTGACGACTGGGAGATGGTCGGCATGGGTTTCCCAGATGGGTCTGAAGTGGACGAGCCGCAGGCCGAAGAGACTGAAGCAGCGGTCCAGCGGAGGCTTGACCAGATCAATGTAGATCTGCAGAAGGCGGTGGACCACGTGACGCCTGAGGAGATCGAGGTCTACTGGTCAGCCCTGCCCCCAGAGGTCAGGGAGTTGGTCTCTGTGGGCGGTGAAGTGTCAGCAGATTTGCTGTCCTACATTGCGGACACAGATGAGGACCGCATGGAGATCCTACGTCAGAACGGATGCCCAGAAAGCGAGGTAGCTGAGAAGGCCGTGGTGCTGGAAGCCCTGCAGCTTGCAGCTGAAGAGAAGGCTGCAAGGTTGAGGCGAAATCGAGTGGCCAAAAGGGGGGCACAGATGGCCCTGGACTTGGCCACGCAGAGCAAAGCACAGAGGCAGCGTGAAGGAGGTGACCTGTTGGAGGGAGAAAAGCCAACGTACAAGTGGCTTGAGAAGCACTCAGGTGCGGTCCTCGTGAGACGCCGGAGAAGGTCGACCGACCAGGAGCTGGACGACGGAGCTGTGGAGGCGGTCAGAGAGAGAGAACGCCGCCAGTGGGAGGTGGAAGCAGAGAAGGTCGTCCAGATGTTGGAGGCCAATGACGACCTCCCCATCATATTGGGAGCGTCTGAGTCGAAAGACCCCACCGAGTTCTTGAAGACAGTGGTGGGCTCATACAGGGCATCTACGTTGAGGAAGCGGCTGAGAGAATGGAAGAAGTACCTAGCTTGGCTGGAGATTGTCCACCAAGTTCGGTGGCCATCAAGGCAGGCCCATGCCATCGACTACCTGGTCGAACTGAGGTTGGCGGAGGCCCCACCGACGGTGCCCCAGTCTTTCGCCACTACCCTCGCCTTCTTTGAGAGGGCAGCAGGGGTCGGGCCGGGAATGGCTATCTCAGCCGACGTGGCATTCAAGAGGGCGTTGGACATGACCAACAAAGAGATGGAACAGAGGAAACCTGAAAAGAAACAGGCACCACTGTTGCCTATCAAGGTGATCGCGTCCATGGAGATGTTGGTCATGAGTGGGGCCAACGCAACCTTCGTCCGTTTCGCGGCTTGGTGCAAGCTGGTCAAGATTTGGACGGCCAGTCGAACTGATGACTTGCAGGGCATCAGCCTGAGGAGCATGAAGTTCACGAAGGCGGGACTTCATGGAGTATTCTGGAAGACGAAGGTCTCGGGGCCGGGGAAGAAGAACAAGATCCTCCCGTTCATGATCAGCAGGAGGGTCGGAGTGACCGGCCTGCCTTGGCTGGAAACAGGGATGAACATCTTGGAAGAGAGGTATTGGTACCCCAGGGACTATCTGATGCCAATGTATCCCTGCGGGTTAGAGGACCTCGATGAGAGGAGACCGGCGACCTACGATGACTTCGTAGTGATGACGAGAGTGGTCTATGCCCGGCTCAGAGAATGCTTCTTTGATGAAGGGAGATGGGTTGCCGGGCGGGGGCCGCTACTGCTTCCAGAACTTTACAAGCTCTGGACGGAGCACTCAGAGCGGAACTGGATAGTTTCAATGGCCGCGGCCTCGGGCATCCCGAGAGAAGAGCGGCAGATGCTTGGCCGGTGGGCCGTCAAGGAGAGCAGCGACGAGTACATCAGGTCGGCACAGAGGATCGTTGCCAGGATCCAGTGCACGCTACTGGAGAAGCTGCGGGTGGACAGAGAATGGGACCTGAGAAACTCAGGACTTGATGAGGTGAGAGAACACATCACCAGGATCAAGTATGATGCAGACTCCATCAGGGGACAGATGTTCAAGCTGGAGATGCCAGAAGCTTGGACGCCAGTGGCGGAGGATGAACCTCGCCAGAGCCCACTGGAGAGACCGCATGTGGCTGAGCAGGAGGAGCCGGGGCAGCGACACGACGAACCTGAGGAGGCCAAGTCCCTGAAGGAAGTGATGGAAGTCCGGGAGGACGCCGATGATGTGGGAAGCGAGGAAGATGACGTGGACGCCAAGGGCAAGTTCTTCGTGGCCATAAATGTCCGCAGCCGGCACAGGAAACTCCACATATGGGGGAAGTGCGGCACGAAGCCAGGGCAGAACTTCGCCGCGTATGAACCGCATGACAGCCTCAAGGGAGTTCAGTTTAACTCCCTTTGTGGCCATTGCTGGAAGGGCAAAGACCCTGAAGAAGCCGAGGACAGCTCGACGACGTCAAGCTCGAGCGACCTTGACTGAGAGTAAAATGGGGGCGAGAAAGAGACTCCATTGGGGTGGAGCCATGAGGTCCTTGCACAACAGCCGTGGGGAGGGACGTGGTTGTTTAACCAAGTGAAGTCCCAGTGAACCCCAAGTGAAGGCTGCTTGACAAACCGGGAGGGGTCAAGCACTGATCCCAGGGAACCGGGCAAGCGTTGTAAGCTTGCGGAGACAGAGCAAGCGTTGCAAGCTTGCGGCGACAGAGAACCTGGCAATGTACTTGCCGGGGTGTCAGCTGGTAGGACCTGCCGAGGGATTGTCCGGGAAGTGTTGTGACACAAAGCACTTGTGTCGATGCAGACCTGTTGGGTCAAGCAACACGTTGGCAAGGGCGGCAGAACCAGCTTTGTGTTGTTTATTTGTGTAACAGTTTACACGAGGGCAACAAGCATCACGGGAGCTTCAATGGTTGGGGCGTTGGACACCTCATGCAGAAGGGGTTCATGACTTTTGACTAGGGAACGTATATCCCTTAGGGACCCGTCGGAGCCATGCCGATGCTTGTGCTGACGGAGGATCAGTCGAGGGCAGCGATGGATGCTGCGGACTCGGACCTGAAATACCTCCTCACAGAGGTAGGGGTCGCTGAAGAGGTCCAAGCGGCCTTGTATCACCGGGGTTTCACTACCCTGAGACTTTTCTCAGGGATCGACGAGTCCAGGGCGGAGGTGAGGACCGCGATCAATGCAGAGATCGGCCTCGACCATGCGGCAGGTAATGCCGAAAGGCGCAACACGGCCCTGCTGCTCAGCGCCTGGGAAACAGCTAGGACCCAGCAGAGGTCGAATGATGAGAACAGGGCAGAAGCCAGGGTGGCGATGGTGCCGCGTCCAGTCCCGGGCAACGAGCATGCCATGCTCCGGGAAGCTCTTGAGGCCCAGATCGGCCGACTGAGGGACTATGAGGTGCCAGCCAAGAGCCTCATAGCGGCCAAGCTGGACGACATCGAGTCCAATATGCCAAAGCTGGAAGACCTGCGTGACGTGGCATCGGTGGAAGATGGTGAAGCGGACCTCCTACAAGGGAGCTTGGACGCCGCGACGGGGACTTTCAAGATGAAAGCGGCCAGGAATGCCATCACGATGCCCAAGACCGCAGAGGAGCTACGCCTACGCCACCGACGTATTGGGCTGGCATGGGAGATGGCCCGTACAAAGCATAGAAACCGGGTCTGGCTCCAGGGCGGCTTGGTGGAGGCATATCGCCATTTGAGCGATCATGTGCTTGGAAAGCACGTCTACGGGCTACAGCTTCCTCACGAACAACGACCCAAATGGGAGCTGATACTCAGTTATGAGCAAGAGGTCAGGAAGAGGGCCTATCAACTCCTCAGGAGGGGAGACGAGCCCACGTTGGAGGAGGCCATGAAGAAGGCCATCGGGGACCCGGAGACGATGAACCTCCACTTCGTGGTGCCGCTGACGACGAGCCTTGCGTCGAGCTCTAGCAGTGGAGCTCGGGCTACGAGTGCATCAGCCAAACCAGGGGCAGCAGGCCCGTCCGGCGGCAACAAAGGCGCCAAAGGCGGCGGACGCAACGCCAAGCCGGTGAAGAAACTCCAGGTGAAGACCCCTGATGGAAGGCCGTTATGCTTTAAGTATAACAATAACAACAAGTGCTCGGCCAAGAACTGCAACTTCGTTCACCAATGCCAGCGATGTTTGGGTAACCACCCCAAGTCCTCCTGCAACGCACTGAAAGGTGACACAGCCAGGGGCGGTACAACGCCCGCAGGAGGAGGTAACTGAGATTCACCGGTGACAGTTTCACCAGTCTCACCGACACCGGAGAAGTGTGTCCGAGTACTTTACATGTTTTCGGGAGCGCCTCGGAAAAGTGATGTGCGCAGCTACTTGCAGAAACTCTGCGTATCAGCCGGGGTCCAGTTGCAAATGACGGAAATAGATTTACAGATATCGGAGGATCACGACATGTCAGACGAAGATAGGTGGCAAGAGCTCATCACCAAGATCAGAAACGGGGAATTTGACATCCTCATCATGTCCCCACCGTGCTCAACATGGTCGAGGGCAGTGTGGGCGAACCGCTTGGGGCCCAAGCCGGTCCGGTCAAGGGAATTCCCGTTTGGTTTCCCATGGCTGAAGGGCGATCTCAAAGAGAAAGCAGAGCTGGGAACGCTGTTGGTGATGCGATGCATAGAGACGCTGGAGACAGCCCCAGCCACAACGGTCTGTCTCTGGGAGCATCCAGAGGACCTCGGGAGGTCACGCAATGGAACACCGGCAAGTGTCTGGCAGCTGGAAGCCCTAAGGGCGGTTGCAAAGAAACGGGGCATGGAATCCATTGTATTCCACCAATGTACCTATGGGGCGGACTATCCTAAGCCCACCAGGTTCCTTAGCGAAGCAGACGGTTTGCTGCAGCTGGGATTTAGTGGCTGGCCAATATTTAGTAAGGACTTCTACTACTTGGGACCGTTGCCACGATCCTGCGGCCATGCCCACCGAGCTCTTATTGGAGCCAACGACACCGGTGGTTTCAAAACAGCCCCAACCGCAGCATACCCACCACAAATGAACGAAATGATTGCCACGCTGCTGTTCCAGCATTGGCACAAACACCTACCACCGACGCCAGATGGAGGGGGTGTCGAGAAAATCGCGGTGTCCGGCGTGGAAAATCGCCAGGAGGGGGACCTGGAAAAGGAAGTTGAGGCCGGAAAGGCCCGAGCAACAGAAGAACCCCCTGAAGACCCAGCCCGGGAGCTGGCAGGTCGAGGTGGCAGCTACCCAATGAGGGGACCCGGCCAGAGGTTGTTCCATGATGGGGCGGGTCTATGCTCACAAGGCAACAAGAGACCGGCGTTCAGAGACATCTCGCCGATGAGCAGCTTGGGAGAGGAGTTCTTGAAGTTGACTTCCGAGAAGGAGTTGAGGAACGACCTCTACAGACTGGCCCTTGGGAAATGTGAAGGGCCGCCATTCCGTGAAGGCATCGTGGACGCTGCAAGGAAAGCCTGGTTGACACGCCTCTCAGAGGCCTCGGGGGCGACAATGGAGGACCTGACCGTGGTGACGCCTAGACAGCCCTTTTGGCTGGCAGCCCTTGGAGAACACCTCAGGGTCATAGGCGATCCCGACGCAGATGTGTTTGGAGGAGGACCGGGCACCTTCAGAACCGGGGTAGAATTGGGGCTCCAGGGGATGCCAAGGGTGCCGGAGGTCTTCGAGGCCAAAGAGAAGTGGAGGAAGTATGACCCCATCCCTTGGCCTACGGACAAAGGCAACTACACCTCAGCGGTGGATAATGCCCTGGCGGTACAAAGGCAGTTCCGCAAGGAAGAAGCCCTAGGAGCCATGATCGAGGTCGAAGAGGAGGAAGCAAGGAGGGATTATGGACCCAAGCTCAGGGTAGCAGTCCTGGCAGCCTTGGAGAAGGCTGATCACTCCTTTCGGGTGGTGCACGATGCCACGCACAATGTTGGAGTCAACTCCCAGATTAAGGTGGAGGATCAGTTGAGGTACCCCGGGCCGGCTGAGATCAAGATGGCGATGCAGGCCCTGTACCCACCGACATTTGTGCTGGCGGCAGACATTGCCCGGGCACACCGCTTGGTCCTGGTGAGCAAAGGGGACTGGGGGTACCAGGCCTGCCGCACCGGAGTCAATGACCAGGGCGGAGAGAGCACCAAGATATGGCTCAACACAGTGGGCACCTTTGGAGTTACGTCGGCCAGCTACCATTTCACCAGGTTGTTTGCGGCGGTCACGAGATGTGCCCATTCGCTCTTGGCCAGACGCAGCAGCTGCCAGCTGACGTACGTGGACGACTTGCTCTTCATGGCCAATGGACTGGGGGGAATGTCAGCCATATGGGTTACGCTCTTGTTCTTGGTGGTGGTGGGAACCCCCTTTGCTTGGCGGAAATTCCAAGGAGGCTCCAGGGCCGAATGGATTGGATTCCAGGTTGACATAGCGGCGTGCGAGCTGGGCATGACTGAAAAGCGGCTACGTTGGGCCCGAGACTGGATGGAGAAGACGGTGGCCAACAAAGTGGTTAGGGTGGAGGAGTTTAGGTCGGCGCTTGGCCGGCTAGCTTTCATGATGTCGGCCTTCGGACACCTGAAGCCATTCCTGGGCCCACTATACAGCTGGGTCACCGCAGTGGATCACTGCAATACGCTACAGGTACCAGCGGCAGTCATCATGATCCTGGGCTTCCTCAAGGCGACAATGGTGCCTAAGATAGCCCGCACGAAGGTGAGATTGACACCGGAAGTGGAGGAAGAACATGCGTTCAGATCGGACGCAAAGGCGGAGGGAGAGACTGTGGTGATTGGAGGATGGTGCTGCAGTGATTCGCCGGACAGGGCGAAATGCCGGTGGTTCTCGGTCAAGCTTGACAGGAGGAACGCACCTTGGGTGTTTGAGTCCGGGGAGCCTTACCGGGCGATCGCTTCGCTTGAACTCCTGGGCACCCTAGCTTCGATTGTGGCGTTCCCTCCGCGCCGAGGCAGCTCCAGGAAATTCTTCCTCTCAGCCGGGACGGACAATCTTGGAAACCGTCACCTGGTCACAAGACTGCTCACCACGAAATTTCCCCTCTGTGTGGTGCTTATGCAGTTGGCGTGGACCCTACATTGCAGGGATTTGGAACTCCGGTTGGATTGGTTCCCGAGATTACAAAACAGAGAAGCAGATGCCCTGACAAATGGGGACTTTAGCGGCTTCAGTGCAGAGTTGAGGATCGAGATCAAGCCGGAGGAGTTGCTGGAGGACCAGTTCAAGGACTTGATGGAGAAAGGGGCCGAGCTCTTTGATGAAGTCAAGGAGCTCCGCCGGAAACGAAAGGAGGGTATGATGAAGTCATTACCCTCGAGCAAAAGGCCCAAAGGGGCGAACTTGATTGGGCCGTGGTGACCCGAAGACGTCGTTGAGAGGGGCTGAAAGTGAAGGCGCTTCGGTTCTATGAATTAGGACGGAAGAAGCAGCCGGAGTCAGCTACCTTGACTCGACCTCGGGCACTCGTCCAATAGAGAGATAAAAAAGGGAGTGAGGGAGATTGGTAATATCAAGATTGAAATTATGAATCGGGTAAGTATTACCCAAGATTAAGATTAATAAGAAAGTGCGTTGGTTTGCTTTTGCAACCGTTTGTTTTGTAAGTTGGCCAAAGTTATTTGGCCGGGTTCTCTTTAGGTACGTTCGAGCTAGGTGTCACGCGGGGTGGACTAGTCCATCGAAGTGGGACAGCTAGGGAGGGAGTACCGTCTTAAGGGTGCTGTTGATGTATTCAACAGCACCCGTCTTGTCTGGGAAAGTATTTCCCCTAGGTATCGTCGACACAACTCGTTGGGTCAACAATCGTGTTAACAAACCCGTTGACAAACACACCTGTGTTGTTTCGTGTTTGTCAGACAACAACAGGGAATGTACTTTCCTGAAAACTTATCTTCTTTGGGTTTCTTCCCAATTTGTTGAGTGAAAGTATTTCACTTGACGGGGAATGATTTCTTGAAGGGAAAGCATTTCCCAATCCCACCTATTTGGGAGTTTGTTTTCCTAAGTAGGATATTACGGTATTACGGTGAATGTACTTCACCAGAGTAAGTATGGTTTTGTGGGTAAGAAAGTATGTGTGATGTCAGCCACCGCTGGCTCACAGGGGGCCTTCAAAGAAAGGTCTCCCACCCACCCACACCTAGGGGGCTGAAAGTGAAGGCGCTTCGGTTCTATGAATTAGGACGGAAGAAGCAGCCGGAGTCAGCTACCTTGACTCGACCTCGGGCACTCGTCCAATAGAGAGATAAAAAAGGGAGTGAGGGAGATTGGTAATATCAAGATTGAAATTATGAATCGGGTAAGTATTACCCAAGATTAAGATTAATAAGAAAGTGCGTTGGTTTGCTTTTGCAACCGTTTGTTTTGTAAGTTGGCCAAAGTTATTTGGCCGGGTTCTCTTTAGGTACGTTCGAGCTAGGTGTCACGCGAAGAGCCAGAAGAGGCGTGGGGGAAGGGGGATGGAAGACCAAAATTTGGAGAAGACAACCCAGGTCAACGTAGAGGAGAAAACGCCTAAAGCAGAGTTCAACGGATAACAAAGGAGGAAAGAGCAGGGGCAGAGGGCACCCGGAAAAGACAATAAAAGGAGGAAGGGAGGCACTGACAGTCCTGGACCAGTCTATGGCCAGAAAAGCCAGGTACCAAAAGAGCAAGAAAAAGGAGCAAGAAGAAACAGGACAAGGTAAGATCAGGAGAAAGGAACGAGCACGGCCAATAAATCAAGCAAAGACAATTTGGAGCCAACCCAAGGGCCAAATCAATACGGAATAAGGAGGACACTTGACGTAGAGTACAGTACCAGTTTAGACTCCTACCTAAGGGCTGGGAAACTCCTCTATTCGCTTGAGCCAAAATGGCTACGGGGCTTTTGATTGTTGACCCAAGAGTCCTAGAACAGCCACAGCTGGCGCCTGTGGGCTGCGCCTCTCCTGCCTCAGCTGCTTCCTTCTTTTTGGCCGTGATGAGCAGCTGGAGATCAGCACGAGATAGCTTCTTTGCCGCCTGCGTAGAGTGATGGAACTACCACCAAAAAAAGACAACTGCAAAAGAAAATGTCTGCCTTGAGCAAATTCTTCCTGCGCTTCTGCGCCAACCTGTTCTGCTTGCGGTTCTCCTTGATAGCCTGCAACTCACCACCACTTAAACAAAACAGGCCCACGGCCCCTAAAACCAGCATCCCCCCACCTTGCGGAGAGAAGACCGCTGCGTCTCCAAGGCTTCTAGCTCTTCTTGCAGCAGCGCCTGCATGGGCACAGACAGACAGAGAGAGAGAGAGAGAGAGACAGAGAGAGAGAGAGAGAGAGAAGAAAGACAGAGAAAGACAGAGAAAGACAGAGACAGCAAACTGACATCACAAGTGAAACAACATCCCACCAATAGAATAATACTAAAAGGAATTCGCTTTGCAAAATCAAAACATCTCAGTCCACGTCAAACATTGAAAGCTGAAAAAGCACGGAGGAGAAAGGGAGACAGCGCATGCTAGGAAGTGTAGAAGGCGACGGGCGCAGAAAGAACGAGCCAGACAGGAACCTTGTTTAATAAGGCACCCCAACACAAAACACCCTTTCACCACCTTCTCGGACCCAACACGCTGCTGGGACAAGGGGCCGGCGCTGAGGTTTAGGTGACCTCAACCTCAAACTTGCTTCAACGTCCAAGCTAACCTCAGGCTGACCTCTAGGTGAGCTCCAGCTCACCCAAACATAAACCCCAAGCTGACTTCTAAGCAAACCTGAACGTAACCTCGGAATAACATCAAAAGAGGCACTGGTAGGTGTACCACACCCTGTTTGAGGTGAACCACACCGGTGTTTCTGGTGTACCACACCCCTGGTGTTTAAGGTGAACCACACCGGTGTTTAAGGTGCACCACATCCCTGGTGTTTAAGGTGAACCACACCGGTGTTTAAGGTGCACCACACCCCCGGTGTTTAAGGTGAACCACACCATACGACCCTCAAACCTCCACCTGCGACCCTTCCAGGTCACACCTCCGACCTGCAAATCTTCTTGTATAGGGAGCGCACCTACGACCCACAAACCTCCACCTGTGAAAATTCCAAATCACACCCACCACCTGCATATCTCCTTGTAGAGAGCGCGCCTACGACCCTCAAACCTCCACCTATGACCCTTCCAGGTCCTACCCCTTGTAGGGAGTGTGCCTACGCCCGCAAACCTCTACCGACGACCCTTCCAGGTCACACCTATACGACCCTGAAATCTCGCACATGGAGGGAAGAGAAGAGGGAGTTGCGTCGTGTGGAGAAGCGCGCAAAGGTGGAAGGACGAAAAAACACACACGCGGGTCAATAGGGTTTTTCGGCTTACAATGCATTCTGCCTGTAAAAGAAAGACAGAGAAAGACAGAGAAAGACAGAGAAAGACAGAAAGCAACACACACACACACTGAAACCGAGACATGCTAGTCCCAATTTTTGAACTCTGCAGCAGGACCCGGTTTTGGGCCCAAAATCTGGCACCAAGTCTGGGCTTGCAGCGAAGGGCCTCTAGAGAAGGTCTATTGCAGTTTCTGACATCAATCCAAGGTTTGAATGGGAACAAAAGCGGGCACTGGACCCACTCCGCCACGTTGGCCTTGGAGCGGCGTGGAAACATGGCACCTCCTTGCCCAAGCCCAGGCAATCCAGGCGCTACTTGAGGACAAGCTTCCCAACCCAACAGTTGCAAAGGGCTGAGCAGTCAAATGTGATTGGAAAAACAAAATTCCAGTATGTTCAAAAGCGCACTGCCAATCCTTGCCAGCCACAACACTGAGTATTGCGCCCCGAACAACCTTTCCAATCACTCATGCAAAGCTCCCCTCGGGGCACACTGCTCCGGGATTCCAACCACAAAACTTGCAATTTCCTTCAGAACTCACGAAAAATATGCGTATCTAGTGGCTCAAAGCTCCAGTTAACCCGCTCGGCACAAGCAGGATTCTGATCCTGTGAAAATTTGACATCTGTGGTGAGATGAATCCATTGGTCTTTTCATTGATCTTTTCTGCATTGGAAGAAGTGAATTTGGTTTTCATCTTGATGATGAGCTCAACCGTGATGGTTGACATCGTATTTGCACGTTTCATATTTTGTACGTTTTATTGGAGATGACGAAACCCAACAACGATATACTTTTCGTCTTCTTTGAGTACTTTGATTGCACGGAGAACATCGTGAGGATTTGAATTTGTATAGTGACATGGAAAATCAAACCATTTTCCATATGTTTTGCTTTAGTTTTGCCGGCAGAATGATCGCAGAAGTGCACGAAGGAATCGTGAGAAGATCGTAGAATTCATTTTGTGACTTCGGAAGAAGGAACTTTGTTTGACATTGATCGGAGAAGTTTAGTTTGTTTTGTCTCTCAATGATGATAGCGAGAGCAACGTTCTGAAAGGCATTCAGAACTGGAGTTGCTAACAGATCTGAGGGAGACATCATGAATCATGTTTTGGTGCTTGAAATGTTTCAACGTTTTTCAAACACTCAAACTTATTTAAACAAACAAACCATGTCTTGATGTAAAGACTTTTTGTGAGGACATGTGTTTTTGATCGCTTTTGTGAAAGTTAGCAGAAAGATGCTGACTGGCGACTCCGCATCATTTTGTGTCAAGGCGTGACACACCAACAAGAACCATAGCGACATGAGCAAGACATGTTCCCTTGTTGCTTGTGTGTTTGGTAAAAGTGGCTGAGCTCTGGGAGTGGTTGACTTGGTTGCGTGGACGGTCTTAGTGAGTTAAGGACGACGTCCTGGACGCTGACCCAAGTAGGTTTCGAAGGTTGCGGCCTTCCGCATGGTAGCGGAGCTGCCTGCTTGCTGCGCGTAAGTAGGAATGGATTCAGGTAGTGCGAGTCAAGGTGTGCAAGGTTGTCCTAGTCCTGGTATGGCTGAAAGAGGTGAAGGAAGTGGTGGTTGTAACCGGAGACGGATTGCCACCTGTGGTGGTGTAACCGTAGTGACGGATTGCCGCCAGTGCCTAGAACGCCTAGTCAGCAAGGTAGTGGATCTGGGATGGATGGACAAACACCTGAAGCAAGTAACATGCCCCAGCAGCAGCCACAGCAACAACAAGCAAATGTGTCACAGAACGTACAGGGATTTGCGAGCACGACAAACCTGGATGCAGGTGGTCAAGGAGGTCCGGTGCAGGGATGTCAACAAGGAAATGTCCCCGGAATGCAAGGACCGGGACCAGCATGGTTTGGTGCGCAATGGATTCCCCAACAACAAACGTTTTTGCAACAGAATTCGCAAGCGCGTGTGCCAAGTTATGGTTGTGCGAGTATGCCTGGTGGACCAAGGTCTGGAGATTTTCCAAACTTAGGAGTGAACCCAATGAGTTGCCAAGGAAACATGCCGAGTGGCCCGGTTGGAGCGAGCTTGGGAGGTTTGACGCCTCAGGCGGCGCAGATCCAAGAGGTCATGGCCATGTTAGGTAGCATGAGTGAGGGACAGCTACAGACAGTGCAGCAGCATATGCAAGATCGTTTCGTAACTATGCAACAGAGAAGAGGGGTTCCAGAAGTGTTTGGTGATGGTCTTGGTAGGGCAGCTGATTCGTCGTTTGTCTCCGCAGCCATTTGATGTTTTGCCTGGTTTTGGTGTTCAACAATCAAATCATGGAAATTCACAGCAATTGGATGTCTTCGCCAAAAGCGAAAAATGGTTGACACCGGCACCAACACCAATAGGAACTTGGAAGACAAGAGAAGAAGAGGTGTTAGGTTGGGCTGGCTATTTGGATGAATTGTCATCCTGGGCAGCTGGTGGAAGCTTAGAATTTTCTGTAGAAATCCAGCATAGTAGCCGTTGGCCCGGTCCCATCAGATGGAGTGCTCTCAGTGGAGCACAACAGGCAAGATCTCGAAGGCTTATGTCCATCTTAAAAGCTGCGTTTCACGACAACCCCAGGTGTGTGGCGTTGGTGAACGCCTTCAGTGAGGGTGTGGCATTACATGGAGTAGGATCTAGTGACAGAGTGACAGTGTGACAGTGGCAGTAAACCAACAAGCAAACGGGTTTGAACTGCTTAGGCAACTTACTCTTGAATTTTCTCTGAGGTCAAGATCCGAAGCGCTCTCACTAAGGACGCAGATTGCAGGGAGATCCTTTGTCCTGACGGCGACACAGACATCGCCGAGTTCCTTGGTTAGTGATACTATCAGAAGAGTTGAGAGTTTCTTGCAAAGAAACTCGATTTTATTTCTGCACGCAACTTTAGGGTTTTGTTTTTGTGTTTGTGTTTAAATTTGGAAACCAAACAATTTGAAAAACAAAACCCCTCTTGGCACACACCCATGAACACATTGTCAAATTTTGTTATGGCAAAATTTCCTTTCAAGGGTAGGGAGGGAGGGATAGTCCTGAAAATTTTGACAAAGATTGTCAAATGGGGACTTAGTTTAGAGATAGCCATGGTGGTGAAGCAGCCTTGGACTGGACAGTCTAGCTCTCGGAGGGCCGATGCTTCAACCTCAGAGGTACCTCTAGCAACGTCAGACTCATCACTGCCTGGCTGGTCTTTTGTTGGCAGAACATCTGCTGAAGAGACACATCCTTCAATTGAGTTCGACTTGAACAAGGACAAAGGTGACTCTGGACCGGACAATGCATTTGGTTTTGATGATCCAGGTGACGTTGGTTCAATCAACTTAGGAGGTGATAGTGTTTCTGCAGAACCCTCAGTTGCTGACACCGATGAGTTGCAGACTTTTGCAGTTGAAAGAACTTTGCCAGCTGAACACGTTCATGCAGTTACTTCATCATCATCTTTTGATACTGTCACTGCCTTGGAAGTTGCATCCAGATCGATTCCAATGCAAGCTGTCGAACCAATATGGGAACAAGGGATCTGGGGTGTCATCTTTGGAAACAAGACCATGTTTGATGTCTACAAACCGTTTGGAGAAACGTTGAAACGACCTGCAGACACTTCGAGACCTACTTCAGAGTTTGACATTGCGATGCCGGCTTCAACAAAACCCAAACTGTTTTCAGATTCAGGTTTATCCTTTTCAGATGTGGTCAGGGACAAGCCTGACATTTCATGGCAAGAGCAGAGGGACTCCGACCTCCAACGTTCTGTGAAGTTTTGGATGGCCCTGGTCGACAGGTGGGACACCAAGTGCAGTCTTTGTTGCAGCATAGCAGAACTTGGCAGTACTAGCAGGATCTTCACCATGTTCGCTCATTTGTTTGCTGGTAGGGCACCCATTACTGTACGTAAGAGGGCATACAGCATCATGAGATTGTGCGACTACCTCGAAAGTGTTGGAGAATTTTTCCCTTGCAATGAACGGCTTTTCTATGACTTTTTGTGCAGTGAACAACTGGGCAACGCGCCCCAGTCTCGCTTGAAGGGCTACATGCAATCAGTGAATTTTGTCAGGTTTGTCATGTCAGTAGATGAGCTTGCAAGTTTGACAACCAGTGCAAGGTGCAAGGGAGCCTGTTTAGGAGATCACCTTCAGGAGAGGGTCCAGGCGTCACCATTAACTGTGGCAGAGCTCAATCGCTTTCACCAACTGTTGCGTGCAGGGGATGACTTGTGGATTAAGATGTTTTGTGGTGCGGTGCTGATGGCCGTATATTGCCGCTCCAGATGGGGCGATTTGATGCGTGCAGAGACAGTCATTGAGGATTGTGACAAGCATGGAGTTCTTTGCTATTTGGAAGCTAGGACAGGACGACACAAAACAATGAAATCGCAAATGCATCGTCATCAGTTTTTGCCAATGGTTGCACCAGCAGTTGGTGTTGATGGAAGCAACTGGGGTCTAGCTTGGCTTGATGTCAGACGTCAGCTTGGTGTTGCGTGGCCACCTGAAGGTTTGGTCATGCCTGCACCAGATCGACAGGGCATCCCGACAGGCAGGCCCTTGGAAACCCAAGAATGTGCTGCTTGGATCCGGAAGATTGTTGGCGCCTCAGAGGACAGCAGTTCTAGAAGGGTTTCAAGCCACTCTTTGAAAAGCACCATGCTTTCCTATGCAGCAAAGAGAGGGATTGGAATCCCAGAACGCTTGCAACTGGGATACCATACAAGCAATTTTCAGATGGGCATGGTCTACAGCCGTGACGGAGCGGCAGCAAGTCTCATGGTGTTAGAGAAGTTGATAACAGAGATTGCACAAGGAAAGTTTGACCCTGACCAGACCCGAAGTGGTAGAGTAGTCGAAGAGTCAACAGTGCCCACAGGTGCAAATGTCGTCATCGAGGTGAAGGACGAGCCTGAGACCATCGAGGAATCCGAGCCGGAGGATTTGGATTCGAGCTCAGCATCAAGTGAAGAGCCCAGACCAACTCAGGTCAAACATTTCCCAGTTGTTCAACCAACTGTTGCACCAGATGGTTTCAATCTTTGGCAACATAAGAAGCTAAAGACTTTGCATCTCATGGAAGTTCAGAATTTCAAAGTTTTGGCATGTGGTCGCTCTGTCGGGAGCTTACACGAAAAGTTGAAAGAAGCACCACAGTTTGACACGCCACTATGCAGCAATTGTTTCAACAGAAAGCGTTCTTGATGTCAACCATGTTCTCATGCATCGAGCTGACTTTGCTGCTGTTTTGCATTTTCTGGACTGGTTTGGGACTGAGTGAAAGTTTTGAATTTAACACTTCAACAATTTTTGCACAGCCAATTTAACAATCGGTGTGGTCGAGAAGTATGCACTGTCATGCATGTTCAGTGAAGACAGCCGTACCCTTGGTCTGGAGCTCTGCAAGTTACAGCTTTCGACACAGACTGTCAACCGAATTTTCATTTAGGGACATTCCACACTTGTGTTGTCACTTCAGTTCAGTTGGCAGTGAATCATCTTAGATGACATACAGGTGTCGGATTTTGCAGAGCCAGACGTGGAGAGCCCAAAGGAGCCACACGTGCTTGGAGGACAGGCCAGTCCAGAAAGGGATGATTTGAGAATTTTCATTTTCGTGCTGCATTGTCATGCAATTTTGTTGCATCAAATTTTTGAAGTGACGTTTGAAACTTTGTGCACCATGGACTGCAACTGTCGTTTCATAGACTGCGTCGACAAGAAGAGGCTGTTGAAAAACCAGGGCTGCTGGTCGTTTCGAATGCCTTGCACGCAGAATCATCCAGTGATTTCAGTGTTTTCCTTTTGAAAGAAACATGTGAGCATGGGAAGACTGTTTAATGTGTGTGAGAGGCTCAGCTTGAACAACAGGCTGTAAGTCACCAGTGCGAGTTTGATCGCACGCACATCACATACATGCTTTCAAAACACTTGACAGTCAAGCAGTCCAAGGTAAAGCAATTTTAGACAAACGTGAAACCATACCACAGTCCAGTGATAGCAACTTGAGGCACTGTGAGATGGCAGTTCCAAAGTTTTCTTCTTTTAAGTTTCCATAGCACTGTCAGCCGCCATGAGTCTGGTGGAATCCACAGCGGCATTTAACCAAAGATGCGACGAGATTGTGGAGGACGGATCCTTGAGGACATCCTTAGATGCACAAGGGATCAGGTCGCACAGTGCAATGGCCTTCTCAATGGGCACCCCACAAATGACGCCCACAGAGGAACAATTTGTTGCTCTTGCCCAGCGAATCTTTGGAGCTGGCTACAGTGTGGGGCAAATGTCTGCCCTTAGGAGGCTTCACTTTGAGAGCACGACTCTGGTCATCTCCATGGTCAGGGAGAGAGTCACCAGTGACAGTGCAGACAAAGGAGATGCAGCAAGGAAGATTCCTTTGGCTGAGAAAAGGCAAAGGAAAGAGGATCAGATGGCGAGGTTGACCGGCATCTCGATGGTGGGAGAGCTGGATCCCAGCCATGCCCTCTTGGACCTGGCCAATCAAATGTTGGAGAGTGGTGCCATAGTTTGGTTGGCCCCATCCAAATGCAGCAAGCGCGATGATGAAGTTCAACAGGCGCTCAAGGACTCAAAGTCTTCAGTGCAAGTGGAGAATGCGCAACTGAAAGTGGGACCCAGCACCGACACGGTGGAAGCGGAGTGGAACTCGGAATTGAAATTCCAATGGTGCATGATGAGACGTGGCCTTGCCATGGACCAATGCAGGGTTCTCAGTTGGGGCATTCACCAACAGTGGGTGAACTACATGCTCAACCTTTTGAGCAGGCCGGTCAGTCCAGGTTTTCAGCAGATAAAACTGGAACAATTAGTGAGGGCCGACCGCGAGATGTGGACAATCCTTGCACAGGAAGTCACTGGAAGCCTCAAGATGACTGGGAACGACATCCCTTTGGACGCTCATGTCAAGCGCTTGACCACAGATCCAAGGGTCACCATGCTCCTTTTACCCTTGCCTTCCAATCAGAAGGTATCCGAGCCTGCAGGGGGTCCAACAAGGCCTGCCCCTACTAGGCCAGCAGCAGCGGCGCCTAAGAGGCAAGGCAAGCGCAAAACCAGAGCTGAACGTGGGTGCCCAGATGAACTCAAGAAGTACAACATGAATGTTTCTTCGGGCCAGGTATGCTGGAATTACAATTTGAAGGATGGATGCCAGTTGCCCACCAACGGGAAGCCGGCAAGATGTCAGCGAGGATTGCACATCTGTGCAAATTGCCACAAACCTGGCCATTCAGTGGTCGTTTGCCGAGATGTGAAAGGCTCGTGACAAATCACGCCCACTGAGCCAACCTGCAAGCGTCGTAAAGACTGTGGGCAGAGTTCAGGTGGGGACATTGACGCCCACTCACATGCCAAAGCTTGCGGTGAGAAGCAACTTTTAGATGTTGAAGACACGTTGCAAAACAGTTTCATGTCAATGGAGGAGACGCCAAAAGGCGACACTCATGAGAATTTTGGGGAGATGCCAGATGGCGAACACCCACCACAATTCACTTGCAAGAAAGATTTCACAGGTTTTTCATTGGAGGACCTCTACATCATCGAGGTTTGTGCGGGGTCAGCCCGACTCTCAAAGATTGCGCATGGGCATGGTTTCAAAACGATGGCAATAGACCACTCAACAGCAAGGACATGTGGCTTTCCAATTTGCGTTTTTGATTTAACAGATCCCTCAGACCTGGAATCGTTGCTGCAGTTCATAGATGAAGCGGCAGGGTGCATCCTCATGATTTGGGTGACGCCTCCATGCGGCACAAGCAGTAGAGCAAGGGAGAAGAAACTGCCAAAATTGGAAGCAACTGGTGCAAAGGTTCCTGTTCCTTTGAGGTCAACACAACAACCTGACCAACTAGATGGGTTGGGGGGCCTTGACAAGGTGAAAATTGAGAAAGCAAACTTGATATACGAAGCAGTCTACAAGATAGCGTCAAGAGCTTGCATGCACAAAATTTTTGTTGCGCTGGAAAATCCAACAAACTCTCATTACTGGAACACCTCTCCAATGAAAGCACTCTGCGAAGAACAAGAGCATCATTATGTGACTTTTCATGGATGTGCACACGGTGGTGCCAGAGACAAGTCGACCTCGCTTTGGGTAAACGACACCTGGTTGGATGAACTGGCGTTGCTGTGTGATGGAAAGCACACCCATAAGCCATGGACTACCACAATGAAAGATGGCAGCATCAAGTTTGCAACAGCAGAAGAAGCTGCATACCCCTGGCTTTTGTGTGAACGCATCATCAACTGCGTTCGCAGTGTTGCTTTGCAAATGGGTGCCCATTCACCCCAAACCGTAGCTGAACAAGCTGAAGGGCCAAACTCAGACTCCCTTTCCAGAGTTGTTCTGGGTGCTTTGCCACGTGGCCACAAGGTCAAACCTCTTGTGGCCGAGTTTGGGCACTACATCACAGTCTATGCAGACCCACAACAGCCTGCATTGACAGAAAAATTCGTGGCACAGCAACCAAAGGGAGCAAAAATCGTTTCGCGCCGCATTGTTACAAGGGGAGAATCACAGGCTGCTCACTCAGGGGATTCAAATATTTTTCTACTGGACTTGGGGCAGTCAGAAATGATAGAAAAGGTGCACATTGGGGTCCCAAGCGAACCTGATGTTTTCATACAGAGGGCTTTGGAAGCAGGGCATCCCAGAAGTCTTGATCAATACATGGACCCGCAGATGGAAGCAATGTTGAATGCTAATTTTTTGGAAGAACCAGCAGCCGTTGCAAAAAGAAGGATTGAATTTTTCCACAAGTACCTGCGTAGAGCAAAGGAACTCCATGCGCAGGAGGAAGAACTGAGACTCGGAATGCCAGAGCATGTCAGGAATTTGGTTGGGGGAAAGCGTCTCCTTTTGTGGAAGGAAATTCTTACTGACTATGGTTACCCCGACACCAATTTGATAGATGAGATGGCTGCAGGTTTCAAACTCAGTGGTTGGATGGGAAAGTCAAACGTTTTTAGAGCAAGGGCCAAGAGGCCTTCCATGTCTTTGAGCACCCTGAAGCAACTCTCGAAGGCACTCAATGCTACAACGCTCCGCAGCATGGATGTGAGACAGGAACCTCAGCTTGAGGCTGAGACTTGGGAAGAGACAGTTGAAGAAGTAAAGAAAGGATGGATTTGGTTTGACGAGGCTGAAAACTCGAATGCCTGCCTTTTCATTGGACGCCGTTTCGGTATCCGCCAATCCAACAAAACCAGAGTGATCGATGACTGCTCGTGTTGTGGCCTGAATTGGACGGTTGGTCTTCACGAAAAATTCAGGCTGCAGTCTATAGATGTTCTGGCGTCCATGATGGCAGCTGCCTTCAAAAAGTTTCCCTTCCTTGAGTTTCCTGAAATTTTAGGGCGTTGCTATGACCTGAAGTCTGCCTACAAGCAGTTCCCTGTGCATAGCTCGGACCGTGCTTCCTTGCGCATGGCCGTTCGTGACCCCTCGATGGAGGAACCTCGCTTGATTGGCTTCAATGCCCTGCCCTTTGGAGCAGTGGGCAGCGTTGCCAGTTTCCTACGAGTCAGCATGTCGGTTTGGTACATTGGGTTGGTTGCACTACAGATTTGCTGGACGTCATTTTACGACGACTACAGTGTCTTGAGTCGAAGGGAGCTCCTGGCCAACACTTCATGGTGCGTTGAGTCGTTGTTTCAGTTGTTGGGCCTAAAGTTTGCCACAGACGGAAAGAAGTTCATGCCTTTTGATGCGGTTTTCCGAATGCTTGGACTGCAGGTTGACCTTACAAGTTGCAAAAGGAAAGAGGTGCTCATCGGCCATACAGAAGAACGAAAGAGCGAGTTGAAGGGAAGAATAGATGAGATTCTTTCCAGAGGAAAAATGGATTCAAAGGAGGCAGAGCGCCTTCGGAGAAGAATGGTCTTTTTCGAAGGATATACCTTCGGCCGTGTAGCCAATGCAGCAGTGAAGAAGTTGGGAAAATTCTGCACGGGCAAGACCAGCCCCAAAGACATCGACAACTCCATGCGGTACAGCTTGCTTACTTTGAGGGATCGAGTACTTTCAGCTCCTCCAGTGCGCGTCAGTGTTGCTTTAACTGATACATGGTTGGTGTTTACAGATGGCGCTTGCAGTCCGGAGCTTCGACAGGGTTCTATAGGCGGTGTCATACTGGACCCACTTGGAAGGTGTCAGTCTTTCTTTAGCTCCATGGTGCCTGAGGATGTTATGACCGAGCTTTTCAAGGATTCAGAAAATCCAATACATGAGCTTGAAGTGCTACCGGTGCTGGTAGCCTGCCTTCTCTGGGGTTCCAGGTATTCTGGCGCCCTCATAGTATACTACATCGACAACGAGTCAGCTCGAATGGCATACATCAAAGGACATGGAGAAACAATCTACGCGTCGTACATGATTGGAAGCTTTGTTGAACTTGAAGCTGCTTTGCAGCACAAGACGTGGTTCGGGCGATGCCCAAGCATGAGCAATCCAGCAGACGGGCCCAGCCGACTAGACCTTTCGTGGTGTGAGAGGCAGCATGCAGAGCAGACCAGTATAAACTGGGAACTACTCAGGCATCACCTCAACATAAAAGGGGAGAGGCCGGAAGGTGATGACCTTGCCCCGCTTGCTGTCGAGAAAAATGTGTGACCTCATTTTTTCCTGCTGTGCTTTCATTCTTTGAGATCTCCCGACATGTCGTTTGCAATGTTTTTCAATTTTGTTTCGAACCGAACTGCGAGCGCGTATCGTGAATATGCGACGTTGACATATACATATATATACTTTAACGTATGGGTATGTATATGCTTTTCGGTCTTATAATATATGGTATGTGTTCTGGTGTGCCTGTTGTGGAGTTGGAAATAAGTTGAGAGTTTCTTGCAAAGAAACTCGATTTTATTTCTGCACGCAACTTTAGGGTTTTGTTTTTGTGTTTGTGTTTAAATTTGGAAACCAAACAGTTTGAAAAACAAAACCCCTCTTGGCACACACCCATGAACACATTGTCAAATTTTGTTATGGCAAAATTTCCTTTCAAGGGTAGGGAGGGAGGGATAGTCCTGAAAATTTTGACAAAGATTGTCCCACCTCAACGTTGTTTCCCACCCTTCTTTGTAAGCCTATCCCTAAGCCTAAGAGGCCGGAAGGTGATGACCTTGCCCCGCTTGCTGTCGAGAAAAATGTGTGACCTCATTTTTCCCTGCTGTGCTTTCATTCTTTGAGATCTCCCGACATGTCGTTTGCAATGTTTTTCAATTTTGTTTCGAACCGAACTGCGAGCGCGTATCGTGAATATGCGACGTTGACATATACATATATATACTTTAACGTATGGGTATGTATATGCTTTTCGGTCTTATAATATATGGTATGTGTTCTGGTGTGCCTGTTGTGGAGTTGGAAATAAATTGACTATGAAGCTGCAAGGTTCTCAAGGTTGCTAGGAACTCTCCCTATGCAAGTGGACACCACAGGACTGAAGCTGGCAGACTCAGACATGCTAGTTGTTCTGTTGAAAAGCCTGCCTGAAACAGTGAAGAATTATGTTCTCCACCACAGCGGCGCAGACAACTACGAGTCCTACAGGAACGCTGCGATGCGGTGGGAAGAGCAACAACGCCTGTTTAGCGATTTTGAGACAACAGGCCACAGCAAGAGATTGAGTTCCCTGGAGGGGAAGGTAGAACATCATTCTCTTGACTCCGAACTCGTCGATGCGGTGGAAGGCAGATGCGGGAAGTGTGGAAGTCGGAAACACACGGCAGCAGCTTGTACCGCAGACGTGAGCAGGATCCGGTGCTTTAGATGCGGTAAGACCGGACACGTCAGCTTCAACTGCCCTGAGAACAGAGAGGGTAAGGGTAGTGTAAGGACTGACACTTGGGACAAGAAAGGTTCCAAAGGAAAAGGCTCTAAAGGTAGCAAAGGAAAAGGAAAGAAAGGCAAGTTGAATGAAATTTCAGAGGATTGGACCGACTGGACTGCTGAGAGTTGGGACGATGATGACTATTGGTGGCATGACCAATGGCCGGAGAGCTGTGATGGTCAATGGGGAGTTTCGCAGACATGGTGGGACGATGGTTCTGGATGGTATTGCTATGGGTATACCTGGCAACAGGGACCAGTCCAAAGTGCGGAATCGAGTGCAAGCCACGACAATAGGTCTGATGTCCAAAAGACTGGCAGTGTCGGCAGCATGATCATAAATCCTTTGTTGTTTGACATGACATGTGAAACCACTGGAGGTCTTAGGTTTGTGCATGAGCATGAGTTTGCTGACATGGAAACCGAGAATAGGCTTGTGGTTGATTGCAAAGAATTTTCAGAAAATGAACTGGCTGACACGGGTTGTGTGCTGGCAAGAGGTTGCGACAGCTGTACTCGTGAGTCAGGAGTGTTGGAAAATGAACTAACCGACATGGGTTGTGTGCTGGCAAGGAGTTGCGACAGCTGTACTCATGAGTCAGAAGAAGAAGAAGAAGTTGAACTGGCTGACATGGGTTGTGTGCTGGCAAGAGGTTGCGACAGCTGTACTCATGAGTCAGAATTTTCAGAAGATGAACTGGCTGACACGGGTTGTGTGCTGGCAAGAGGTTGCGACAGCTGTACTCGTGAGTTAGAAGGATTGGAAAGTGAAGTGGCTGACATGGGTTGTGTGCTGGCAAGAGGTTGCGACAGCTGTACTCATGAGCCATGGTTTTGTGGTTTGAAGTTTGGAGATGAAGTTGGACTTGGTGACAGTTCCAACTTAGAAACACGTTTTGCTAATGACCCCAGCCGAGACTTGTGTGCCACTGTACCGATGAAAGTCGTTTTGGTGCGTGCACATGACTGGTTTGATGACCACAGTGAGGTTTCGGTTGAACAACAGATTGAACATTATTTGAAGTTTTTGCGACCTCTGCTTTCACAGGTCGCTGACAACACCGATGCTTCTTGGTGGCTTCTTGACTCTGGTGCATCCACAAGTGTTTTGGCTGAGTCAAACTTGTCAGCCTTCAGGTCAGTGCCGCAGGACAGTGAGGGGTTAGGTGGCTACAAAGCTGCCAATGGATCCTCAGTCAACATGTCAGGCACTGCTGAGATTGGAGTACAGATGCACATGTCAGGCACATCAGGTGATGATTGGTGTTGGAAGAAAGCACATTTGAATGTTTTGGTGGGTTCCATCCGGCACAACATTTTGTCAATCACTTCATTGGCAGATTCGGGATGGAGATTCACACAAGGTCCGAAAGGTTTTGATTTGTTTCATGAGAAGCTTGGAATGCATTGTCTTGATGTTGCTTATTTGCACAGATATTGTCTACTATGAAGAAAGTTAAAAGGGAGACTTTCGTGTTGTGTTTACCGTCGCAATTGGATAAGATAAAAAAAGGAAAAAAAATGCACAGGTAGGGGGGAAGGATTCGGCCTATTGTGGGCTGTCAGGGGGAAGATGGTGCATATTAGCTGGTCACGAAAGGGGAACGTAGAAAGAGGACGCCCAAACAGAACGAATAATGAAAAAAAAGACACACAGAGCGGGAAGTGATTTAGGAAGGAAATAAAAAGTTAAACGATTTGTGAGAAGAGACACTTGACTGTGAGTAACACTCATGACTTTTCTGTCGCAGCTGTGTCTGGAGGAGACGACAGTGAATTAGCACGTCACCGGAGACAGGGACATATTCCATTCAATCCGAATTGCTTGGAGTGTGCCAAGGGTCGTTCCGTCTTTCAGCACAGAAGAGACAAAGGTGACAGGAAAGAGGTTTCGATTCAGGCCGATTTTGCATTCCTCAAGACATCAGGCGAGATCGCCGCAGACGAACTCCCAGGTTCGGTGAAGATCCTTGTGTTAACCGAGATGATGTCGAGGTGCATTGGCTATGTGGTGGTTGGAGAAGATGTCGAAGCAGCCAGGAGACAGATTGTTGTATGGCTTCAACATTTTGGGTTGACTTCGAAGGCAGTCTCCATTGATGTCCACACCGATAGCGAGAGGGCCGTGGGAGAGATCATTGGAAATTCCACTGGTCGATACACGTTCGCTATTCGGAGAGCCGCGCCACAACAACATCGATCAATTGGGTCGGCTGAGCGAGCAGTTAGGGAATTAAAAGAATCCTTTTCTGTGTTAAGGGCTGATCTGAATGCACAAGGGTTGGATGTCACGTTTTCACATGAGAATTTGGTTGATGTTTTGACGTATTTGGCTTTGTGCAACAACCATTTTTCAACATCGAGAGGTTCAGACAGAAGTCCATTGGAAATGGTTTCAGGAAGGAAGTTATCCAAACCAGTTTCGACTTTGTTTGGTGCTCAAGTTCTGGCCGAAATTCCTGATTCAATTCGGCAGCATTCACCACTTTCAACAAGGAATGTTGAGTGTACCTTCATTCACATGGGATTGGAACGAGGTCCAGTTGTGCAGGCTCTCATTCGTGTGGATGGCAAAGCTGAATTGATGCGTTTTGTAGCTAGGAACATCAGGGCTATTTCACCTTTGAGATGGGATTTGAATTCGGGACAGGGAGTGTTGACACAGTTTGACACTGGGACTGTAGGTAGTAGACCCCAAATTGTGAATGACAGTGGGACTGCACCAGCTGACATGAGTCAGCTACCTCCTGAAGAGTTGCGAAAGTTGAAAGGCCAGAGTTTGCCGGCACCTTCACAGCCCAAACTTGTCTTGCCAGAGTCCAGTAGTGTGAAGAAGAAATCTGGTGAGTTGCGTTTGGCGCCAGCAGTGCCATTGGCAAGATCGAACGTTGTCGTGACTCCACAGGAAGTTCCAGCAGAGCCGTCTCGAGTTTCTGTCACTCCATCTCTTACGTCACCAGCAGATACTGCAAATGTAGCCATTGGTAGTCCTGAGAGTTCTGAACGAACTTCACCTGACGTATCACGTTTTGAACCGACTCGTCGATGTCCAGCATGTGAGAGTGGCATGGAAGCACCTGGGATTAGGCACAACAAGGAATGTAGGAAGCGTTTTGCTGAGTTTGAGGAACAACGGAGAAAGGAAAGACGTGTTGAACCTGCACTCTCTCAGGAGAGCCCTGTAGTTGTACCCCAGGTTCAGGTGCCAGTAGAAGAGGTCGATGATGAGGAAGTGGTACCAACACCTGAGTCCGCTCGGCGACAGCCCGAAACACAGGTTGAGTATACCAGAAGGTTTAAAAGGAAAGCTGAGACCGACCGAGAACAGTTGGAAAGAGAGATCCGTGAAGATTCTGAGGAACTGCTTCAAACAAACATGGATTTTGATTGGTTTTGGGTTGGTAGCGGTGAGCCTGTGTTGGTTGCGAGTTTGGGTACACTTGAAGGTCCAGCGTCTTTTGCTCCGGCAACATCTCCAGAAATGTTTTCTGGTTCTCTTGATTCTGTTTGTTTCAATCGAGGCAGTGAGCATGATTTTGTGAAGATGCGTCTTGGAGGTCAGGATGTCTTGGTTTGGAAACCGGACAGTATCATAGATGACCAGAGTTTGCAAGAGCTTGACTTGGAACAAGGTTTCAAAGGTATGCAAGAGGAGGTTATGAACTTGGAACACTGCAAGACTGGCCGCATCATCACCCAGTCAGAACTGGACGACATGAAGAAGGCTGTTCCGAACCTTCGTTTGATTCAGTCGAGGTGGGTTGCAGCTTACAAAAGCAGTG